GGACCTGGAGCGGGGCCTGGCCGGGCGCGATTCCCATCCCCCAATGTCCGGGGAACCCCTGAAACCGGCCTCTCCTCCCGCCACCCTGTGCCATTTGAAACCGGAAAGTCACCTTCTTTGGGCCTTCAACTTGGAGTCTGCTTTCCAGAACAAAGGCTGAAAAGACATCGTCTTGGCGATTGGCGCAGTGCTGGCCTCGCAGAGCAGCCCCGACTTGGCTGGGGCGGCCTCAGCTGCTGCGCCTCCTGCCTGCCGGCCCTGCCCCGGCCGCGACTGGCCTGGGAGACCGAGCCTCCGTGCTCATGGAGCTGCAGCCCCACGCCGCGGGCCTCCTCCCGCCGCAGCTCCTCCGCAGCCTTCGGTCGGGGTCAGCGGGTCTGCCCGCCCATGCCACCCTGCCGGCGTGCACTCGCAGTGAGGAGTGGGTTGTGGATGTTGGCACCAGGACCCGGGGTTTGGTGGGGTGGGTGCCTCTCCAGATAGTCCAGCCCCTGGGACCCAGAGGATGCCTTGGTGAGTGGCCGCCTGCTGTGTGTCCCCTTTGAGGCCTTTCCCTTTGTTTCTAGGTCCCAGTTGCTTTTAAAAGAAGGCGAGGTCCATTCTGCACGGTTTTCCTCCAGCTCTGCAAGCTTGTCAGGGAGCCCTCCGTGGTCTCTACTGCTTGGGCTCTGCCTGCCTCCCTGGAGACTGACCACAGGGAGGGCTATCAGGTGGGGAGGAGGAGGGGCCCCAGCCCTGGGCTGGTTAGTGACCCCCTCCGTCTCAGGGGTTGCTCTTGCCATACCCCATCAGAGGCAGGACCAGGGAAAGTACAGAAGCACTTGGCGGGAGTCAGAGCCTCACTCCACGTCTTCCCTTCCTTCCTCTGTCTGTCCTTCCTGGCCTCATGCACTCTCCAGAGGAAAGGGACCCCGGTGGGCGTCATCATGCGGTTCCATGCTTTCAAAAGCTTCCTGTCCGCAAAATAGGATAATCTAGAAAGAAGTCTTGCAGAGCTTATGGGGAGGCTTGCTGGTCAGGACAGAGCCCCTGGGCGGGTTCCCCCCGGGGCCTTCCTGCTGGGCACACTGCGACCAAGGTGGACAGAGCCCCCGGGCAAGTCCCCCGAGGCCTTCCTGCTGGGCACACGGTGGACCAAGGTGAGCCTTCTTTCAGAAGGGGCCGTGGGGAGATTTGTCCACGACATTCTGCCCTGTCTCCGGAACTTCCTACGTACAGCTAGCCTGTAAGCCCAAGTGTCACCGTGTTCTTCAGAGTGGGGACTCGGCTGTGGCCCTTTCGAGGACTAGTGACAGGATTTCTCTCGGGTAGGACTTGCCGTCAGGACACGCTTCCAGGAGGTCTGTGCGTGCTCCAGGTGCCAGCGGTGCCGCGCTCACCCTTTATAGCCCTCCGCGGCCTCAGACGGCCCTGGACGGCCTCAGACGGCCGGAGCAGCCGGTCTCAGGGCTTTGCCGGGGGGGCTCCTTA